CACGAGACCGGGTAAAGCGTTGCACTGGACTTTAGAAGGTGTTGCAATAGCGGGAGGGTTAAACCTCCTGATCAAATGTGTTGTCCTTGGAGAGTGAAGCATAGCGATTTGATGTGATGGATATTTTACTTTAGTTGCCGCTAGATTTTGTGGGTAAAGATGATGACAAAGAGGATAATAATAAAAGAGGATATTCTGTGACATGTTTTGATTAATAATATTAGATTGAACTCATTACTTTAGTGTGCAAAAGATAACGGACAAACGAAATAACGTCTGTTCATGTTGGACGACGAACGTAAACTGCTTTACAAAGTTATTATTATATTTTATTTTTTTTTTTTATCAAATATATAATTTTATTGGTGTCGCATCTGAGCGTTTATATATAACACGAAGACCACGCGAGCAAATTCAGCGGTTCCGGATACAACCGATTTCGTCTTTGAGATATAACGGCTTATCGGACCTACGAATGGGTTATGCACCCGTTGATATTTAACGGAATCGCGCCAACGTCCGTATTATTGTAATGTTATGATCCACAGACGCTTCTCGCCCGGCACAACGATATTTCTTTGCACCATACTGTACCATACATACAACACGGTCTCGAAGCACCCTTTTGCATTACAGCGATACAGTGGCGCAACCACGATTTTTTAAGGGAAGGGGGGTCCAAAATATAATTATTTTAAAGTCGATAGCAAATTTAATGATTATTTTATTATTTGATAAATGTAAATATTGTAATTATAATGTAAAATTTAATGTTAGTTAAATATATTATGAAAAAAATGAAGGTAAAAGTTATGTACAAGTTTATAAATTGAAACTAAGCAATGTTTTGTTTCGCTTGAATGTTGTATTACTTCCTTAGGCGTTACACTGAATTTGTAGTAGACATTGAGAGCAGCTAATCCATTGAGTCTTCTTTCTGATGTCGAACGTCTTAAATCAATCTTCGAATCAATTATTTAATTTTGTCGAACATTTTTTTAATTTTAGAAAGATACGATACAGTTTAAGTAGGGGGGGGTCCGGCCCCTGGGACCTTCCCACTGGTTACTCTACTGCAGCGATATTATTATATTACGACGATAAGATACCGAAACAGCAATGTTATAGCCATAACAACGTAACGGCACGGTACATACGTCGTACTACGGTATGACGGCGGTTACGCGTTATTCGTATATTATGTTTAGCACTGCTGTAATGTGCGACACGTCGAAAAGTCGTGTTGGGACTCGGCGATCGGATGTTTTCACAGCAAACTCGTAGCGCGTAAATCATAATGTGCCGCTCGCACGTTCACCACCGCCCACACGTGTACACGCACTTTTGAGTGCACCAAAACTACTGCGTACGCACAGGTTTTCGTTACAATACCGTGCTCTACGTGGGTCACTTTATGCGTACACGAAATAATACTTAAAATGTAAATATCTTTCACTTCACTTATCGATCACTATATCTCAAAAACAAAAACGCATGTGAACTTAAAATATTACACAACAATGCTCTACGAGGGTAATTTTTCAAAAATCTCATTTTCAGATTACTAATATTTTTTCTTAAATTCATAAAATGCTGTACATTTAATTGTATATTATAGAAATTAACTAAATGTTATATTTAACTAGCATTTCAACTAGTTATTTCAGCCCAGCCTCATCTGAAAGATATTTTACTAATCTAGATTCAAGCAATTGCTTTTTCAATGAGATAAAAATTCTAAGATTTAAAAAAAAAAAATGCATCAAGACCAAGGCCGGATTTAGACTTTCGAATGCCCTGGGAAAATCGATTTTTTGAGGCCCCTAGCAGTACAAAATTAACATTATAGGTACATGTAGTAAAGGAAAAATTAAAAATTTGCATACTTGCACGTTAAAATTATCTGCCTAAACTTTTTTGTTTCAAGTTTAAAATACCACTGTTCATGCTACACAAATCACAAATTTTTGTATGTATAATAATATCACAGTTTAATTAAATGTAATATACAGTAAATTCTAAATAGTTAGTAATAGCAATGATTAAACATACATGTATTGTTTGAAATTCAAAATATTTCATACCTATCAAAAATTGTTACTAGGACCCAAAAATAATGCGTATAAATTAAGTTGCATTAATTAATATATACTATCAAAATTAAATTACAAAAAAAATTATATAACATTCTTTAAAAAATTGTTTGTCAAGCTTTTTTGTTTACATGCTATGGTGTATGTAGGATTTTATTTCCAAAGGTCAGTAGTGGCTTGTATCTAGGTGTATAGGTGTAATAACGACTCATATCAAAAGAATATATTCGGTTTTCTATTTGCTAAATTTTACAGTACTATTACTACTGTAATTACTACTGTAAGTTTACTGTAGTAGACTATATATTAGATTCATATATAAAAAATAACTCTGACTTTCCACCAGAAATATGGTCAGAATATTTATCATCGACATTACGCACGACTAACAATAGCGAATCTTTCCATGGAAATTAAATAGTTCGTTTAATTCTTCTCACCCTAATATTTTTAATTCTATAGATATTTTAAAAAATATACAAATTAATACTTATATAGCATTATGAAGTCAGTGCTCAAGGAATAGAATAACAATTGAAAAAAAAATGGAAGCATTAGAAACTAAAAAAATTACTAAAATTAAATTTGTGAAGCAATCTTCATTCAAATTTTTACCTACATTTCGTAAATGGTGTCGTTTTTTTGTAATTTTTCATCGGTTTTTGCAATTATTGGGAAAACGATTGAGAAATATAAAATGAACTAATACAACATTTGCTATCGAAAAACACCCCTGATGTTGTTGATAGGATCAATTTTACTAAGAAAAACGTGTCCTCATTCATAAAAAAATAAAAATATATATATGTAAAAAAAATAAATATTTATAATTGTGTAGAGTTCATGGGGAGTTAAACCCACATCCTTGAATATAAATATATACATAAAAGGGTAATATATAAATAAATATAATATACTAAATGTCTATACGCATAATTCGAGCATAAAGCGATTTACTAAATAGCGCAGAAATAAAATAAAATAATTTGTACAAAAAAGAAAAAAAATGAAGATGACAAAAAAACGTATGATAATATATTTTATTTTATAAATGGACATTTACATCATAATTACTAAATTACACACAATTCACTTTGAACATCACGAGCCGCCACTGTTATAGGTACGAGTAGAATGGTGTGCCCTATTTATTTTAATCATTGGTTTTATAATATCAAATCAATACTTAAATCAAATTTAAGAATAAGTTATTATGAAATAGGTACCTATTTAAACTTAACTAAGCAGGGAAGTGTACATTACAACACAGTTTAATACATTTTTGAACAGCATGGAATAAAACTTACAAAATGTATTTCGGATGCAGAAAATTCAAAGTTGTCTGGCTCCACTCAGTAGACGTGAAATTCTGTACCAAAACACCTAACAAATTTATGCACACTAAATTTGAACAGTAAACATACATAAGTGCCGTTGTTTTGTTGTACATACACTCATTCAGACAATAAATAGTATAACATAGATAATGACGAAAAATCAAAATAACTTGGAATGCGCTACTTTAATATGGTAAAGTAATACATAGAAGTCAATGTTACGCTTTATCATTATCAGACTGTTTTCCGGGTACTACCAACTTGGTGTTTAAAAATAAATCATATAACGACTCAAAGGTTTATAGTTTTCTACCAAATCATTGATTAAAAACACATGTATATTTAATCAAAGCCTACATACTAATATATTTGTACATTCTCTGGATGTCCCAATCCCATACTGCTGCCACTTAACATCTTGACGTACTCATTTTATAGACCAAATAATATAAATATAAACCTATATTTTTTTTTCAAGTTGATAATTTTTTCATACATTTCTTAAACCGAAGGTCAAAATAAAAATATATTTTTAAAGTGTTCCGGCATCCGGATGCCCCCAAACATCTACTACCAGGGGCAATTGCCCTTAAAACCCTCTGTCAAATCCGGCTCTGATCAAGACTATTAAATATATTAATCTTTATTTATTTATATTATATAAATTTACATTTATAATACATTATAAGTTGTATTATATATAATATATATTATAATAATATTAAATTATACCACAATCGGTTAATCTTCATTCCGTAAAATTTATAAACAGCATCTCCGACGCTTACGAATTAGGTTTTCAAAAAGTCTTTATATGGTACATCTATACATAGTAATTTAAATTGCAATAAATGTATGTCGATAAAATAAGTTTGGTTTGACAAAATGTCTAAGTCAAAGAAATTTTGACAAAAACAAACGTTTAAAGGAATTCCGATTGAATTATATAACAGACTTGGGTTGTTATATTTTATTGAATAAATATACTAGAATTAAAAAAGAAATTTCATAATTTAGAAATATTTGTGTTGTTGATTCGGAAATATTGATTTGGGCCAAGTTGAAAACATTTAACTATTTATCCGTATTTTTCAGTGTATGGTCACTATAAACCATACAATATGAAATAATAATAATTATAAATAAAAATTGTTTTTATAAAACGTATGTTTAAATAAAACACATGGCCTTATAAGGTCTTTGATAGAAAATCGCAACGCTCTTTCCAAATAATCGGTTACTAAGTGATATTATATTCATATTTGTATCCCGTATACAGTCGTATTCACTCTGCTCCTGATACGAGAGTTTTTATATCGACGTTGATATTTATCCAGGACGCTGTGCTCTGTGACATTGACGTTTAACTTCGATTCGTGTTTACTTGATCAGGTGTCTTCTGAAGTTCGTTAACGATCATCGACCATTCTCCGTGTTGTACAGCATTATTATTTCTAACGATATCGTTATAATTGTTATTATTATTATCATAATAATTCTTTGCTTGCAATCGTTTTCTTTTTTTTTTTTTTTTCAATCGCCGTCACCATTTGATCGCGATCTTCCGACAATGATTCGTGGTCTGCTGATCAACGCGTTGGCCGACATCACCGGGTGCGTGGCGGCCGTGCTCGTGGGCCAGCCGCTAGACACGGTCAAGGTGAAGATGCAGCTGTTCCCCAAAAATTATAGCGGCATGTTTTCGTGCCTGAGGAAAACGGTGAAAACTCAACACGTCCGTGGTCTGTACGCGGGCACCGGGCCTGCGTTGATGTCCTGCTGCGCCAACAACACTATCCTGTTCGGCGCATACAGTCGGTGCCAGCTGGCGATCGCCTCGTTAAAGGGCTGCGGCGCAGAGGATCTAAACTGGACGGAGAATGCCGTAGCTGGTGGAGCCTCGTCGGTATGCCGAACAGGGGGTTTCACAGCAGAGTTTCGTCTAATACCGTCCCGGCCAAACCATTCACTCGACCCGCACCCTTTAAACTGCTATTCTAAAACACTTTAAAACACTCGTACAAAACATTCCTTTCACGTAAATGTTATTTCGTTCTCTCTCGCACATTCGAGCCGCTTGAACCCTGTGCACCAGTGGCGTGCGTAGGAATTTGGTATTGGGAGAGGGATATCATAAATAAAAATGTATTATTTTCAATTTTTATTATTATACATAAAAATGCAATCAAGGCGGAATTCATCCTTCTGGATTTTACATTAAATTCATCAGTTATTTGTTCTGAAGATAATGGAATATCTCGATATATGTTCATTTACGCCAATCCGTGACTGCCCCGCCGTATTTCTTAAATACGCTTTTAAAAGTTTAAGGCTCAAAAAAAAAAAAAAACCTATGGAAGGATATTCCATCATCCCCCCCTGCTCACGCCACTACGATGCACCGGCGGTCGGTGATCTGACGCACGCATTTCTCAACACTCTCGACTCACTTTTCTCAACAATAAATAACGACCGCGTTTGCGATTTCAGTTGTTTCCGTCGCTAATGCTGTGCCCGATTGAGCTGGTAAAAATACGCATGCAGGGCTATGGTTACGCGCAGGACGACACAGAAAAGCCGACGAAGTTGTCCGCGAGAACGATGGTCAGAGAAATTTGGAAGAAGAACGGCTTCAAGGGGTTCTACCGTGGGCTGTGGGCGACGATGGCACGCGAGAGCGTGGGTTCAGCGGCGTTTTTCGGCACGTATGAGTTGACTCGCGGGCTGCTGACACCGGCCGACAAGCGCAAGGAGGATCTGAACGTGGTGGCCACCATGGCAGTCGGAGCTCTGTCCAGCGTGACCATGTTGTTGCCGTCCTATCCGATGGATGTGATCAAGTCTCGGGTGCAGATGTCCGAAAAGGGCGTCAATGGTGGGTATCGGGCAGTCTGGAATACCATCGGCAGTCTCCGGACGCTCTACTCTGGCCTGTGGCCGACCCTCGCGAAATCCGTCCTCGTCAGCGGCATGTTCCTGTTCGCAGCGGAGATCACGAAACGGTTTTTATCCAAACTGTTCGCGCCCAATCGACCGACGGTCGATTCGCCATTCGAGTCCGGTCCACTGGACGAATGATAATTTCGCTCGGGAGGTAATAAATTCCAATGTTGTATTCCATTGGTATCGTAGAAAATGTTAGGTTTCTTATTCGAGAAAAGCCTACGTTAAACCTCATTTTCGTTAGATGTATTTACTTTACATGGTTTCATTCGGATAGATCTATAAAATCTCGTAAATTACACTAATCATTATTGTTTTTATTATTTACTCATATTTTTTAAACAGTATATTACTTATCAAATTCTAGCCCTTTATCAGTAAGACTGTTACGAATATTTTTGTAATCAAACCATATTTATTATTTTTTAAAAAGCTTTCGAAACACTTTTTCCACCTTTTTTTAAGTGGTTCAGTCCAAGCAATTTTAGAAAAAGTAACAGTTACAACTAGCATATAAGAATATCGTTTATTTTCTTTTTTATAATTTTTCTTTATAATTAAATCAGCATTCCATAAATCATCAATACCACTGGTAATTATTTTTATTTTGGAAATCGATTCCTTATAGGATTATTAAGTTATTGTGTTATAGGAATTTTATCTATATCTTTATTTTTATATTTTATATTTTACTTCATCTTGAGAAGGTTATATAAATTAACTTTTTTTCATTTATTCTACATTTAATTCACTTTGTTGAAATTCTCCATCTACAATTATTAGTTAATACTTTCTAGATTTATATTTTTTTGTTATTTTGTTACATTTGGGACAATATATATTTTAATTTTTCAAAAATATTAATAATGCACTTTTTTAAATTATTCTGATTAAGAATTCTTCAATCTTAATCTTTCCTGCTCCAGAAATTATACCCTCTTTATTTTTCTTTATATATCCACCCACTAAAGCATCATCATCCGAATTTTTAACATAATGCCAAATTGTCTTAATAAAATTATTATATTTAACAGAATCGGATGATTTAACATATTCCATTTCTTTAATACATTTTACGGTGTATAGAATCTGTTTCTATTAATATATCTATATATTTTTTAAAATTTCCATCTGTCTGTGGAAATATAAATTTATTATCTTTATTTTAGAATACATATTTTTTTTAATAAATTCCGTATTTTTTTTCTCCTTTTATATTTTTTTGTTTATGATGTTATCATCATAATAAAATTGTATCAGATATTTTCCAATTTCATGAGTTTCTTTCTGAGTATTATCTTTTTTATAAATCCAAACAATAAATGAAAAATATATTATCTTCGTTGACCTTAATTTATCAACAGCAATCGGACCTAAATTTATTATTTGAGTTTATGGAGCATAACTTGTTGGATTTTGGGTTCTAAAACTTGGTAACTCCATCAAATTTGTTGGAGTTTGAGGAGTATAACATGCTGTTTTAGTAGATATTATTACTTTTTGTAAATCATTGTCTGTTTGATTGGAACATTTTCTACATTTTTTTGTAATGGCTTTACATTTTATAATTTATTATTTCATTGATGATTTCCTTTTGAACTATGTTTTTAAACATTTTCTTTAATGTTTCTCATTCTTGTAATACTTGATTAGTCTCTGTTACACAATAAATTATTTTAGGATAAAAATTATTATTTGTCTTAGAAATTGAGTTATCTATTAAGTTTTCCCTTTTTTCGTTTCTTTCCTAGTTATACAATTTCAAATATTTTCAATATCTGTCATTTATAATATGATTTTTTATTTTTTTATTTAACAATCGATTTTTTTATAAAATGCAGCATGATCATGAGAGCAGCTTTTTAAAAAATCAATAAGAAATTAAGAAATTTAGTAATACGCAATATATAAAAACACAATACGTAAAAATACGTAAACATAAAACATGAAACGTAAAACGCAAAACATAAACGTTAATATAGAACTTTTTCTAGATTTTTATATAATCAATCATTCTGTATATTTAATAAAATTAAGCCAAATTAATTTTTCTAGCAATTCACACAAAATGTTTTAAAACTCTTTATATTTATAAAATTATTCAAAATCTTTTCAATGTAGTGATTTTATTTTTTTAAAGCAACTAAATATTTTAAATTTATTTCTTGTTACTTGTAAATCTACTAAACTAAAAAATATTTTATTATTTAAAACAGTAGAGAAAACAATCATAAACTAAATTATGTGAAAAATAGTTAAAATATTAGTTTTACAGAAATTAACATAACTGTGCCAGTAATGGTACATAAATACTAATGTATATATATTTACGCTGTCACATCGTAATCGACGAAGTGATGTTAATAAGTGTTAAAAAATCTAGAAAAGTGTGAACATTTTATATATTATATCGCTGACGTCTTGATCCCGCGCTCCATCGATTCTTTAAGCTAGAAACACATGACTACGAATCACACGTGCTCTCGCAGATAGATTTGTCAATGTTTATAATAATAAATTATACAGTCTATCACAGTGAAAAATAATGAGAAAGGAGGAGAAATAAAGATAAATATAGAGAGAGGGAGCGAAAAAGAGAGTGAGAAAAACTATGAATACTAAAACCATGATTACATACTATCTGATATATAAATATATGTATATTGCTTTGTAAAAAATAATATAAACAAAGTAAAAGCTTTGGTAGTACTCGATATTTGTAATACTGAACTTTGTGGTTAATAATTCGTGTCTTTCGTCGGATTATTTATAATTCGATGGAAATTCTACTGCAAACACGTTGTATATTTATATCGTGTATTTTATGCGTTTATATTTTCGGGGGGGGGGGGTACCACTCAAGACCATGGCATTATGCCATCACCACTATTAACACGCGTCATACAGTGGTATGCATCTCATTAAAATTTGTGGATTAAACTATTACCGTAGGAAGGTTTAACGAGAATGTGAATGTTCACGTAATTGAAAAAAAAATTGTAATTTTAACAATTTACTCTTTTAACAATCAAGCTTAAGATATAAACTTTTCTATCTAATACTTAAGATAAATAGTCCCGATGTTTTAATCTTTCAAAATAAATATGATTCATAACTTGCCTTAGTATTTCTCGTGATTTTTTTCAGGGACTAGTCACAGTGCTGAAAAAATAACTGTACTATATGAAATTCAAGGTACAGCGATTGGTTTGATTTTTTTTAAAAAAAAAAATGGTGAATTTAAAAACTGATTGCAATACATTTATGTTCAGCATCCCCTTGAAATTATTGCACAATCGTATGAAATATTAACTAGGTATTAATATATGCAAGGTAAATTATATTGTTCGGACCACTGTGCGCGCCGTCATTCGGTTACGAAAACGATTGTAAAAAAAATAAAATAATATTTTAATAAAAGTAACATTATTGGTCTGCCACAGTAGCGGTATAATTTGTGGTAGAATTTAATCATCGCCGTAACAATATGATACTGTATAATTTAATATATCATATACAACTACTACGTGCGGCTGTTGACAGCAGCCTAGTATTGATACACACACACACACACACATGTATACCTGTGTGCGTATTATATATTATACTTTATAGCGCAAGAAACAATAAATTTCCATCAAGCGTTGACGTTTACCACGTGTAATTAAGACAGATATAAAAAACAGCGGCAACAACGTGCTGCGCGCTTACACCAAACAAATTCCGCAACTCGTCAAATGCAAATTGAATTACTATGCGCATCTTTTTAGTTTTTTTTAGTTTTTTTGTTTATTTTTTTCATCCTTTAATCGCATTATTTGTTGTTGTTTGCTCCTCACCTCTTCCCCATGAGTTAATATTATCCAGCCAATTCCGTTAGAATGATAACACAATAACGACTGGTAGTAAATCGCAAGAGCAGATGACTGGAGCGACATGTGCAGGTATATTCCCGGTGCCTTATTGGTCAGGTAAAAATATTTTTAAGCAGGTCTTATTCTAACGGGCAGTACGGCCCAAATTGGATAGTAGGAAAAATCAAAAGGGCAGTTGCCTTTATGAATATAGACACCTTACAAAAATATAATTTTCCTTTTAAAATGATTAAATTTCTACTAAGTATTTTAAATGTGTGTAATTTATAAACCTAACCTAGTATTTAATAATTATTATGTAACTACAATATTTGTTACTTTGATGATCGATTAATCTAGGAAATTTAAATTTAAATAGTGGTATACGTATAACGGAAAAGATTCGTTTAATTATTTAATATCTTACCACGAGATGGTGAAAATTCTAAAATATCAAAATACAATTTATTTGGGGAGGGAGTAAGTATTATAATTCAAATAAAACAAACTTTTCAGGGTGTTTTGGCAGTAGGTAAAGATCCTTAGAATAAGCCCTGTTGTTAAGTACTACAATCAACGCGAGTACGTGTTGAAAAAATACAATCCGACCAACGGCTGCCTGCCAGCTACGTAATACCGTGATATCGCACACAGGTACGGGTGACGATGATGGCGATTACGAGTTATCACCGTGCACGGGAAATCAATCGCCATTTTCCATTCGGCAAGACCGATTTTGAAATGTGCCCACGACAGATTTCTCATCTCCTTCCCGATGCCGTTGTTAGCAGGTAGGCGATTTGGGCGAACTTGTCAAGTTAGAACGGTTAGACGTGTTTCGAGTGCAAGGGAATCGTGCCCCTTTTGGCTGGGGCCTAGCTTGCGACGGCTCTGCTCTATCCCGACACGTTCGACCGTGATTCGTGTCCGCGACGTGTTTTCGTAATAAAAAAAAACTGTTCGACCGCACCCCGTACCGGGCACAAATGACGTCGTAAATCTGCCACGTGAGTGGAAAACAACGAGTCCCGTAGTCGTCAGTCGCGCACGATCCATCACCGTGTAGTCACAATTCGGTGCGATGACCTACTTCAGCGACGAACTCGCGATCGCGCATATACAAGGGAATGGCGGGCGGGAGGGGTTGCGAGGACAAGGGAGGGGCAGCAGGAATGCGAAAATAAAATTATTAACGACCTCGATAAACGTATTTCCAAAAATGTTATTTAGAATACCATTAAAGATTCACGAATAAATTACGCAATGAAATACCGCGGCGGT